GCCATTCTTATCAACTCGTTCTCTTCTCCAATTAGTTTTAGATGAATAAAAGTATTTTCCAAGGGCTTCCAAAATTTGTTATATTTGATTTTTAAGTTGGTGATCTTTTAACAGGTGCTGCATCAAGAACTGCTGCCAAACATTTAATGCATGACATCTTCTGCATAGAGGCAGCTTTATACTTTAGAAATGGTTGTCTAAGGCTGTGTTCAGACGGCGGCATAAATGTCACAGAGGCATAGTCACAAGGAATAAAATGCGAGAGTTCCGTTCACACCTGCAACATAGGGTCTAAGCCATACCCAATTAGAGAAGCTAAATTTGTGCATGCGTGGATGTGTCTACAACTTTCCCACTGTGTTTTCCCATTCAGGTTTTGTGCGTTCGCCCTGCTTGGTTGACGCTTATCCCAAGCAGTCGAAAAGTTTAAAACTTCGAACTTTATGCCAAGAGCCCTAAACCAGACTTTGTGACGTAGCACAGACTGGTTGCCTGGCAACACAGATTGCCTTAAACCACTTATGGCTTTCATACTGTTGTCTGAATGCAGCTTAATATTCCTTACGTATTAGAAGCACTGTCACAAGAACTCAGAGAAAATGCACCTCAGTTGGACATTTTCAAGGAATGACCAAAGAAGTTGTTGCCATCCCTACAGTGACACATTTGATTTTAACATGCTACTATCTGTAATTTCCATGCTCACGAAATGGAACGTGCTGTTAGAAACTGTGAGACTTTGATTTCGTAGGCTGGTTAGACTGTTGTTATTTCTGCAAAAATATTTCTTCAAGACTTGTGGACTGAAGTTAGATTGCGATGAACTCACATTCATTAATGATTTGGACTCACTTTCATGAAGCCTTAAATTTGCTTAATAAATTAAAAATTCCTAGAAGGATTTTAGTTAATAATTATCATAAGATAAAGTTACATGCCTTGTGTGATTCATCTTGGAAGGCTTATTGTGCAGTTATTTATGCTAAATCTTTTTCTGAAGAAGCAAATAAAGTGTCATGAGTATGTGCCAAAACAAGAATTGTACCACTTAAAGTGTCGTTCTTACTAAGACTAAAATTATGTGCTTGCATTATTGTTAGCAAATCTGCTAAAGGCAGTGAGGAAATGTTTGAATGTTCCTGCTAATAACTGTTTTGTATATTCAGATTCTACTATCACCTTATTCTGAATTTCCTCTGAATCACAGGGATGGCTTCCTTTCATAGCCAGTCGAATGTAAAAAATTCAAACCATCATTCCTGAAGTGAAATGGAATCATGTTCAATGAAAAAATAATCCTTCTGATTTTGGTATTGGAGGAATTAATTGATTATGATCAGTGGTTCAACGAACCTTCCTGGTTACAGAATTATTATCCAGTATCTGTATTGGATGAACAAATATACATTAAATTGGATGGTCAAGAAGTAGCCAAGGAAGAAAGAAAATGCATTATTTTTAATTTTGCTAAAATTGATGCCGATTCTTTTCTTTGGAAATTTTCATCTTTGTCAAAATAATGCCTATTTTTTAAGATTTATGAACAATTTTTTGAAGTGCACTTTGGAGATAAGAGGATTTCTTGTTAGTAAAGAATAATGTGAGTTGTACAATAGTAAGCATTTCACAATATTCTGAATTTCTTTATGAAATATTAAGCTTAAAGAGTGGAAAATCTGTGAAATGGAACAGCTGAATAATATCCATAAGTCTATTCCCAGATAAAATAAGAGTTATTCGTGTTGGAGGACAGTTAAGAAATTCAAACTTTTTGGAAAATCAAAGGCATCCCATGCTTATTCCTCAAAAAAATTTTCGTTACTAAGCTCATCATTAGGTACTATCACGAAATGTATTTGCATGCACCTTGTGCAATTTTACTTTCTATAATAAGACAAAATTTTTGGATTGTTGCAGCTGTTATTCTAAGAAAATGTTCCAAGCTTAGATTAATTTTATGATACTAACACTACACTTTTTAACCATTAACTAATTAACTATTGCAACACTAACTAACCATTAAGTACTCCCTCCGGGCAAAATTATGATTGAGTGTATTGTAACTCTGCAATGAATGTTAGACTTTATGTAACAGTTTTAAGCAGTACCTTCAGCCACCACATATGTGTTGGGGAACTTTGTGACATTTAAAATTAATTTGGCAAGCAGTGAAAAATACTACGGCAGCCTTTAGAAAAATAAAAAACCTCAATATGAGAATGTACAGTTAGTAACATTTATTTACAGTTAACGAGAAGTAATATTTGTTTACCTTTGAGGAAACAACATTTATTTACATTTGAATTGCTGCTACAAAAGAATATTTTGTATCATACATATTTCTACCATGTAAATTATTGTTGTAAATATGATTTGGTTTATGTGATTATGGCAAAGCCTCAAGGGCTATGTGCCTAAGGGGAGGGATATCTTCGTGGACGATTTTCTAAGGGAAACTGGCTCATGTGTATGTTACCATGAAAACGCCCATGTAGCCAGCCCATTCGCGGGATTCGAACCTTGGACAGAAAGTACCAGTGTTTAGTGACTTTACTGCACGGCCAGTGGTTAAGTCTATTGTAAATGGAAATCCAAGTATTAGCAAGCCATTCCTCTTTGTCTTTTATTTTGCAATTTCTCTGTAAATAATTTCATTTAGTGGTTGTTTTTACACTTTTACTCAGGATACAAAGTTACATGCTTGTGTAAGAAAACTACTGCTTCTTTTGACTTGATAATAAATATGGCCAGAATATTAGATTAAAAATTATTAATGAATCATATCATGAAGAAACTAATTTTTATTTTCAAATTTATAGAAAGCTAAAAATTGCTAAAATGGAAAAAAGAAAAAAGAAAAAAAAAAAAAAAGAAGGAAAGATATCTTGCCATCAAAATTAATCGTAAAAATCTAAAATGTGGCAAATTATAAATATAGCAGAAAATTATCTCTCCCTTTAACAGATAGACAAAATCACAATCAAAACAGTCTGAAAATCAAATTTCTTGCAGGTTAAAAAATCGAAAGATCGTTACCAAGCTCGATGATTAATCTTCCAGTTTTGGCAGTTGACCGAGTTTGATGCTTTAATCCTGAAGTACCTTTTGACCTCCTAAATGCTTAAAAACCATACTGAAATATTTTCTTTTGCATAATGTAACTTAACATTTTACTAAAATAAATCAGCATTAATTATATAAATTAGCACAGTACAAAGTCCGAAATCTGGACGTCAATTATCCGGAATGATCTAAAATCCGGACATCAAAAACCACCAACAACGTTTTTCTTGTAGGCTTTACGCATGTGCATTTGGTTCCACCCCTCCGCGCATAATATAACATCTGGAGAATCCCGATTCTTAATTTCACTTTGACACTAAGTAAAATACCTTGTTATTGAAGAAACAATCATTTTAGCATAAATTTGTACGACCAGTAATTGGCTGCATTGCTGTGTATGTGCTTGGCATACATCTCAAGCCGAAACATCCCACATAGATACATCGTTGATCTGATGCCAATGTGGTGAATAATTATTTATTATACTTTCTTTTCATCACCGCATGTTTATCAAAACATGACAACTTGAGTAGTGACTCATGTAGCGATGTCTAAACAATTTTTTTTATGTTAGTAATTGAATAATAATGGGGTATGGTAACCTCGCTTGGAGATGATTACAGATTTAAGTTAAATGAGATAAAAAATGTTGACGAGGAAAAATTTACCAAAAATTTCTTTCCATATGCTAAAATAGATTTTGTTGATGATACTCATAGACCCAAAGATTACATTTAGAGATATTTGAATTAAGAATGACTAATTTGTTATTCACATAAACATATAAATAAGTATAGTATATGTGGGAATTTATTTATTTATTATAGACATAAGTATTATAAATAACTACACTAATACAATTCAGACTTAAATGTCTCAGTGTGCAATAGAAGCAAGATAAAATTAAACGGAACAACTTGTTGTTAATCACAAAGCTCATGATGCATAGCCAAATATGTATAGTGAAGAATAGCTAAATTTGATGATAGCCACTAATTTTAAAGGTTTTCGGATATCACAAAACAAATGTGAAATTTTCCAATTAACGGCTTTTGTAAAGAAATGTGGAGAAGCGGCAATAAATGAAGATGATATAAAAGAAGTTTTTCATTGTCATGGCACTGCTTCTCAGTCATCATTCAATTAATGAAAGGTGAACTCTGTAGTATGGGCTCTAGATTCAGAAAATACCGCTACTGATAGTGAAGAAAGTGACAGAGAAGTTATTGAAAACGAGAAAATTTCGATTGACAAGTTAGTCAGAGTTCTCAAAACAGCAGTTACAGGACTTCAAGATTTTGTCTATCTACAGAATTAAAGAGAAAGTATTAGCAAAGAAAAAGAAGCAACTTAAACAACGTACATTGAAAGAAATGTGTAATAAGGTAAACAAATAAATATTAAGCTTTTTTTTTTTTTTTTTTTTTTTTTTTTGTAAATTTTGATATCCTTTAAATCATAAATGCTTCATTATTTCGTAATTTTAATTTAATAATTTCTACATGCCATTTTACTAGATTTAAACTGATGATCTAATATCCGGAAAAATTCCAAATCTGGAATCGCCGAAGTCCCAAGCAGACCGGATTTCGGACTTTGTACTGTAACAAATGAAGTATAGAGTTCACCCTCTAACTAAAGATTAATCTGAAAATTTTGTTTACAGTTTGTAATTTTTCATATGCCAGATGTGTGAAATTTTAATTATTAAAAAGTCTTTTTTAATTAATATTTAAATTTTAATTTTACCTTGAATATGAAGACACATCTTTTCATTCTCCTTTATATTTTCAAAGACCTGGACGGTGACTGCTCAGATCATCCAAATGTGGTTGCTTGTCAGATCAGTTAAAAATGCCAGCATTCAATTTTGGTATAATTTCCATATTTAAAACCCAAAATTCATTTAACCGTAGCTGTTTTATTTCCTCATTTAGAAACAAAGACGAACATTCATAGATTCTATCAGAATTAGTGCTCATGGAGGAAGAGGAGGTAATGGACTTCCAAAGTATGGCGGTGTTGGTGGTAAAGGAGGAGATGTGTACGTTGAGGCATGTGATTCATATACACTTAAAAAATTAAAAGTAGAACATCCTGATCAACGTTTTGTTGCAGGAAAGGGAGGTGATAGCAAGTAAGTATAATTCTTTTAGTCAGAAAATGCTAATCAAGCTCATAAAAAGTATAATTTGTTCATGTTAACTGTGATCTGTTTAAACATGTGATAAATGAAATTGTTTCATATGTAGGAGATTTATGATTTTGGGAAGTCCTGGCAAAGATTGTATTATAAAATGCCCTGTGGGAGTTTCGGCTGTTACCGACAGCAAGCAAGTTTTAGGTAAGGATTAAAAATAGGTAAATGCATTTTAAATAATTATTTTTATAGTATATTTATTTTCATCTTAAACAGCAATAGTGACTAAGTAGAAGCTTCCTTTATTAATGTAATGATGGTTTTACTTAATTATTTGTGTTTTTTCTTTAATGTAGTTGTAATCTTTTTCTTTAAAAAAATTTAATTTAGGTAAAAATTTTGTTTAGAATTAAATAAAAGATTAAATCCTTAAAAATTTAACTAAATTAGACTTTTCTTACCACATTCATAACCAGTGGCATAGCTAGAGAGGGGCAGGGGGGACATCTGTCCCCAGGTACAGCATCCAAGGGGAAGGGCAAATTGATGTTATGGAATTTTAGAATTAAATGTTTTCCATCCTTGGTAGACAGTAGGAGCATAAAATCTGTGATTGTCCCCAGGGGCTGAAAAACCTATCTATAGCTTTGTTCATAATCTAATTAAGGACAAAACTTACTAAAATAAATTTTAATAATTTGAAATACCAAGAATATCTTTAAGCTTATCTGATTAGTTAACTTTTTTTGATAAAATTATTATTTTCAGAATGCTTTGTAAATGGGGCAAAATATCTGCCGTAATATCCGGAAGAAACGCTGCGTCGTTAACGTGTTTAAAACTTAAATTTTCAGCGGGTACGGCGTTTAGGTGCACTAAAAATAAAATATTTCCTATGATGGTTATTGTACATAGTTTGGATGGCCTTGTCATCATACATAGCCTGGTGCTATTCCCACACAAAAGACCACTCAGTTGCGTTTTGCGAACGTTATTTTGTTTACATTCTTCCCTTGAACGGACCTACATGCCTTATTCACCCTATACGGGATATCAGAACAATAACATTCTTCCTCCTTTCAAATCAACATTCTCATCAGTTTGAATAGTCTCTCTCCTCTGCCATTCGATGAATCTTCCAGGACCCATCCTCTCCCCACCCCTGCCTTTTCTGCAATTTTTTTCAAAGGCGGGCACGACTCCATCTGCCTCACAATAACGAACTCTGACGTATTTCCTCTTCAGCATGAATCGATTTTTCTTGGCATTCTGCCAGATACAGATCCCATCAGTTTGGGTGCAAGTGCTTGTTGGATAGTTTTTAAGTAAGAAGGGAGAGGAAAATTTTTTGAAAATGGCACCTAAACATCACAGAATCTATACCAAAGAATATGTATTGTTAAGAAGGAAAGCTTCGCAGCAGCAGAAGTGGCTCCTCCGAATAAAAATTGACACAACTGCGCATGTGTGAAATATCTGTCGCCAAAAAGCGCCAAAGCTCGAAGCTGATGTCGAAGTTCAAACAGGTTCGATGGTCACGTTTATCAAGAGTTTAAAGCTGTGTGACTCCATTTTTTCACCTACATATTGACAGATATAAAATCAGACATCAAACTGTAATATGGATAATACAAATTCAACTAGTAAAGCAAAAAAGCACGAAAATTCGAGTTTAAATTATCGCGAAAAGTCAAAGAACGATTAATCTTAACATGTGTTCCTCAATTTCCTGTACACGTGGCGGAGGTGGAAAAGTCTTGGCCAGGTACATCACAAGGGGTGAAATTCTCGCCAACAGGTTCCGTCACCAAATCCCTTAGCGAATTGTCCCTCTTCTTTCTAGCGGCCTATAAGACAAACTGGTTTACATTATGTCTATGGAGCCTTTCCTTCTTTACATAGACTTTCTTTGGCTATACTGTTGGTTTTAAGCTTAATGTAATTTCACGTGCTGAACAAATTGGAAATAGAGCAGCAGCTCGAGAGTTTGAAGTGGACGAGAGATGTATTCGACGTTGGAGAACTGAAAAAGAACTTAAAAATATGCCACAACAGAAACGAGCCAAAAGAAGTGGTACTGGTACTGTAAGGTGGCCAAATCTAGAGGATGACTTTGCAAACTGGATAAACTAGCAATGAAGAAAGGGAATAGCAATTTCGACTGTAAAAATTCGCTTACAAGCAAAATTTATAGCAAAACAAATGAACATAAATGATTTCAAAGGAGGGCCTTGCTGGTGCAGAAGATTTATAAAAAGAAAAAATATTACTGTGCGTACTAGAACAACAGTCAGGCAACAATTACCAATGGACTGGCAGGATAAAAAGGCATCTTTTCTAAAATATGTGACACAAATAATAAATATGGATGAAACGTCGTTAGCTTTCGACTCTCCTGCAAACAGAACTGTTGATGAAACTGGTGCAAAAACTGTAACTGGGCTTACGATGGGGCATGAAAGAACGTCATTTACATGTGTGTTAGCTTGTGCCACAAACGGTGACAAGCTAAAGCCGATGATCATTTTTAAACGAAAGACTATTCCGAAGGGATATTTTTCTGATGACGTAATTATTTGTGCAAACGAGAACGGCAGGATGTGCGAAACAATCATGCATGAGTGGCCACAAAAAGTTGGCAGTGTCGTAAGGGGTCTTTTTTCCAACCAAAAGGGTTATTAAGAATGGATTCTATGCGTGCTCATTTATTTGAGTTGGTGAAAACCAGATGTCAAAAATTGTCTACGACCGTAGCAATAATTCCTGGTGGTTTGACAAAAATCTTACAACCATTAGATTTGTCAGGTAATAAATCCTTCAAAGCTGAAGTCCAAAAGCGGTGGGAGTGTTGGATGAATGAAGGATTGTATGCGTATACCAAAAGTGGTAAAATGCGTTGAGCATCTTATGAAGAGGTTGCAAAGCAGGGAGGAGTGCGTGGAAATTGGTAAAATCATCGTTAGTAATTGCAGGGTTCAAAGAAGCTGAAATTATATCCTTAGATAAAAGATTGTACACCAAGAGGATGAATGTGACGATCTGGAAGACTTAGATCATGATTTACTAAATCTTTTTAATTCAGGATAGTGAAGAAACAGATTTGGATGATTCAACTTCATGTATGTTTACTGTATAGTTTGCTTTTGTAATAAATTTTAAAATTTCCTTTTGTCATCCAAATTTAATATTTCGTTGTTGCAAGATTTCTTATAATATAGTCTGAGTATTACAAATATGGACTTCTTTAGTGGGTAAATATAAGTATATACGTGAACGTAAATATATTTTCAACATTTCTCACCTTTAATTTATTTTTGAGTTATGGTTTCATTTCATGCATTTTTCTTAACTGATATGTCATATATCAGGACTTAGTTTGAGATTTAACATCTATACAGCCCACGACGATGTCACGCGCAATTTAATCTATTGCGGCGTTTCTGTGTAATTTTAATTTTTTTCCACCATTTTTCTCGAGTGCGGTGTTTACGCTGATCCGGCCTTTCTTCCAGAAATTACGGTATTTTATATTTGGACAAGCGTGATAATTTATTTGATTTGTGAGATGTCTACTCTATGGTAGGAAATATTTAAATATTTCTATGGTAGCAGATTTTGTGATGGTTTGACTATATGTTAAAGACTAATTTATAAAACAAAATTCTGAACTGAAGTTTTTCAGCCTTCAATTTCATTTTCATTCATATTTTTTAAATAGGCTATGTTCTTTTATTGCTGTTCTAAAATATGATATATTTTCTTTCTTCATGTTCGTACGGAGTTCGTACATTTGGAGTGAATAACGACGACACTTGATGAAATATCGAAACACTTTATTTACCAATAGTCTCAGGACAGCTCCAAAATCACTTTTTACAGTCGTCGAAGATCTACTATAAATACGCTGGAACAAACAGCAACACAGCCTTCACTGTCAGGCAGTAACGGTGGAGACAGCTTCACATAGGAGAGACAGCTTCCAATACACAATTGTGTGCGCTGGAGATAAAAATTATCGAGTTCTCTTTATTTTATTACTTATGATTTTATTTTGCTTTTTATTAGTCCAAAGAGGCTTTGTCCCTGAAGGACTATTGCTTTTGTTTTGCGATTTTGCGTTGAATCACTATAAATGTCCGTTTCACTTTTCAAACTGTTGCCACCAAATGTTAGAGTCCTGCATTATATTTGAAGAAATTAAAATAATGAAAAATCTGCATAAATGTATGTATATTTCTCGCATTGTAATAAAAGAACGGTACATAGAGCCATCAAATTTTGAATGACATAATCCGCCTATGAATGTGGGCATGTGGAAGAACAAATTTGAAATTTGGAATTGTTTTATTGTTGATTTCATATTTTGTAAAACTTTAACAAATTTTTTAATAACAAACTCAACGATTTAAAAACAAGCAATGGCAACACTCTACCGGGGGGGGGAACCTTTTTATCTCCAACGCACACAACTGTGTATCGGAAATTTTAAAGATATGCTCATTTTAGAATTATTTTGTGACATTGCTAGTGAACTGAATTTTATGATTTAAGTTAAAAGAACATGATATTTAATAAATGAAGGTAACACACAAAATATTAAAAAAATACCCTTTTGGACGTAATTTAAAGTCTGAAACCTTTCGGATTTTTTTTTTTTTTTTTTTTTCTGATTCAGTAAAAGTTTAACAAGTGTGTTATCTTTTAAATCTTCAGTTAGAGTTTGATCGCAAGAAATTTCTATCAATTGTTCTTTTTCTTCATGAGATAAAATTTTAGGTACATTTGAACAAAATGGATTTCTAATCCAATTTTATTTTTCATAATCCTTGGTAAAATACATGTTGCAATTATTTATCAATGCTAAGCAATGTTTTCTAATGTTGGATGCCAATTCTTCTTTTAGTTTGAAATTATTTCTAGTCAGAAAACTTTTTAAAAGTGATAAAAAGCTTAAAATATTATTATCCAATTCTTTGGTTATTAGCTGGAGTTTTTTTTTTAATCATTGCATATGTCTAATGGTAAACAAATCAACACTTTGTAATCCTAAATTTAATTCATTTAACTTCCCAAAAGCATCAGCTAAATGTGCTAAATGCGCCAACCATAATTCACTAAATAAACATTTTTGCAATTCAACCATTGAATCACACATGAAAATTTGAATTTCTGATCAAAGTTCAAAACAATGATTTAAAACTTTG